TCAAAAGTTTAGCGCCTAAGTCTTGGACACCCAAATTTGGCACTAACCTCGCCATAAGTTGAGCGCCGTAATCTTGGCCACCGTAATTAAGTCCTGCTGATCTCGCCAAAAGTTGAGCGCCTAAATTTTGGATACCCAAATTGGGTTCGGAGCGTCTGCTAGTTAAAGGATCTACGCCCAAGTTTTGCAGACTTATGCCACGTGCAGCCAAAGCTTGCGCGAAAAGTTGTTGCTTGATCGACGAGTCGCCATGGCGTGGTACCTTTACTTTAACTGTCTGGAAAATAGGCACACCTGATAAGCTGGGTTGGTGTTGACCATCGGCTGGTAAAAGTAAACGGTATTCCTTTTCACTGGATTCTTCATCCGAATCGTCGTCTTTGGGTTTATCAAGCACGGCATAGGCAGCTTTACCACTCGAAGGCAGTACTAAACTATATTCCTCTTCACTGGATTCGCCCGATCCCTGAACTATGTACTGCAATTGTAGTGCTTGTGCGCAGGCGATTGCTGCAATAAAAGTTAGTTTATTTCAATTCGAGTTAAGAATCTTCATGCGCATTGTATGTACTCACCAGCAGCAAAAATCAATAATAACTTCATGTTTTTCGGTTAAAGTTTGGTTTAATTATGCCAATTCGCCTGCACAGAGGGCTTTTTATATACTTTGGTGCGTGGCTAAATTTTTAGTACAGCGACTTCGCGGGATTAAAGTTAGTTACCAACTTCGTAATTTTCAATTAGCTCTCCGTCCGCTAAAGCAATACATTCATAACTGTCTTGGTCCCACCTTAATGGATTAATTTAACTTAGTGTGACATTTAAAAATATTGTCGCCTCTTCCTCTCGGCGTGTCACCGCTTTCTTTGAATTGAAGATATTCTTAGGCTAAAAATGTTTGTATGGAAGCGCTTTTTCCTTCTTCCGAGAGTTTAAAAATACACATTCTTATACTTAAGTACTCGTGTTATTGATAATTACAGGCTAATTTATTTGTTTTTTTTTCCAAGCGCCTCGTGTGGCACTGCTAGCGAATGCATTACCGGTTCCTTTTAAGTGCTTTATTTTTGCGCTTTGTATTGAATATTTTTTGCGATGTAATCATAAATATGTCAAACGCTTTGTTGCTTTTTTTGAGTTATTCATGAATGACAAACGGCATTAAGAATGTTTTTGTTTCCTCTTTTTTTAGGAATTGTTTGTGTGGAAGCGGAAACTGGACACACCCTGCTTGTTCTTCCGAGACGGACGTATACACATACATACGTATGTACATATGAATTTATCAACATTAAGGTGGTACAAAGTGGAGTAAAGTCGGTATTCTAATGCGCTCGCCCCCTACGATTGTTGTATGCCGAAAAAAGCAATACCCCTTTTTTTATTTGGAAATTTAAAAATATTTGCAGGTCGTTCAAAGCGCTCAAAGTTTTCAATGTATTTTATATGTAGAAAAGAAAAAATTTTCGCCAAATGATATAGAATTCTTTAAAACTCTGTTTCTCTCGAGGAGACATCTAATAATAATCTTCGACAAATCAGTAAATACAGAAGCTAATTTATTCAAAATTGATGTTTGCAATAATTCTTTAGCAAAAAACACGCTTATGATAAAATTTTGGTAAATGGGCGTGACACCACCGATTTATGATCACATACTAAACTCGGTAGGGTTATTGTGCTTGCCACATAAAAGCAAAATGTTGAAAATTATTGAAATCGGACTAAAATTACGGCCACTTTTCATATAACGGTAAATTTCAGAAATGCTTGAAACTTCGATATTTCGAAATTTAAGGATGCTAATTTACTCAAAATTGATACACCCCGGCTTACCATGTAGCGGTAGTTTTCGGAAAAGAGAAACACGTTTAGTTAATACTTGTGCCGGGTATTTAATGTTCTGCTCCGCCCTAACTAAGACTTTCTTACTTGTTCTTTTTTATCTTAATCGGAAGCTGAGCTTGAAACCAGGCCCTGCGGAATGGTAGCGCACAGTGCACACCACAGCGGCCGCCATATCTAATATTTAGCTTCAATAAAATGCACCTGCGTCATCCAGCTATCTGCTTCATGCTTAAACTGCAGCTCGCTAGGTGGCGCTGGAGTCTAGATAATTAGAAATTCCACATTTATGATTCGATTAAAAAAATATTTACCAGCCAGTTAGTGATGGAGTCTAGAATCAAGATATTTAGAAAATTTTCATTTGTTGACCGATATGATTGAGAATAAAAATTTTCCCGATATTAGCAATTTACAAAATTTGTATTTTTGGTATTCTGGTTCAAAATTAGTACGCATAATACCCTTACCCACCAGGCGGCGCTCATAATCTGATGAAAGCTTTAGGTGTCCATAGCAGGAAAAAGGTTCCAACTCGCTTTCGTTCGAAATCCAGTTTGGCACAATAGTCGGTTGGTTACTCATTAAACTGTTATTGGAAATTTAAAATAACCGCTACAACATAAAATTATTTACAGTCTTACATACTTACAACATATTTTTTAACTGCTTCATGTAATCCATATAAAAAACTGTGCAAAGTACCTTTAGTGACTGAATGCCTTTTTAGTGGTTGAAAATAGACAGTCAAATTGCGGAAACAACAACAACACAAGAAAAAGAAGTAGTCTAACTATTTGTAGGTGTGCACCTTCTGCTCCGTCGTTTGGCTTAAAAACACAGAACGAAATTTTATTGCATACCTTTAGGGGATTAAACTACCGTGATGTAGAGGAATTTTCGCACTCCAAGTATTTATTTCGCTCTTCCGCTTGGTTGGCTTCAAAAGCCCAGTGTTCGAGTAAATAAAAACACGTTCTGCTAAAGAAAAAAACCCGACATGTTCTGGTTAGAAATTACAGCTGTGTCTATGTGTACATCAAAGGCGGCAGTTTGCATATTTTTAGGCGCAGTGAAGTTAAAGTTGTAACACACTGCAAAAAAAACCTCTCAGCAACCCTCTTTCATAGGATTTTTTTTGCCTGAGTTTTTATTTACATTTTCCAGGGTTATGAGTGTTGAACTGAAACAGAGGGTAGGCGCGACTAAAAGCCACCAAGTCACCCCACAAGCAACATCGCACTCCTGGCCGAGGGCAACGCTAATTTCATAGTCTGCACACGTTGGTCACAGTTATAACTGTAACATACGTGTGTTTATACTGCAATACTCTGTACACACATATAACTACAGAATACAAAAAAAAAAAAAACGTAAAACATTAAAGCCGGTATATTTACGGCTAGAAACTCCTTATCGATTGCAATTCCCAACGTGAGCCAGTGTAAACATTCACTCACGCTAGAGTACAGAATTTTTCCGCCAACGTAAAATAAGCACCTTTTTCCCCTGTATCACATAATTAAACTTATTCATGTGTTAAATTTGTTTGTGTGTTTGTGTAAGTCGTGTTCGTGTGCACAAATTTGCCCACCCATCATCAACACGTGGGCTAAAGTTGACGTGTATAACTTCGTTAACTCCGAATCTGACTTTTTTCTTGTTTGTTTTTTTTTAAGGCTTCATTTCGCCTTAAAGCCCTTTTTGGTATGGGAATTTTCACAAAATTTTCCAGACGAAAATGCGGGAGGCAATTTAGTATTTAATTTTTTTTTTGTACTTTCAAGCAACTACCTCAATGAGGGAATGAAAAACAGCTATAAGCTCAGGGGAAGGTTAGCTCGAAAAAATGGTAAATCGACAAAAATGTACAAGATTTTGCTTCCGCCCAACAAATTTGAAGCTGTGATTGCGTGTATAGAGTATTTTTTTTTGCCAGTTAAACTGTTGCAATAGCTTTAGCTCGTGTGATTGTGACCAAAACCAATTTTAGCCATGGAAAGCATTCACCTTACGGCTTAAGCCATTTTAGGGGAAACTTAGGGAGAGGGACGTCTTGTACGATAAGAGTGGGTGGTGCAACAAATTGTACGATTGAGCAGAGAAAAGTATCTTTAGAAAAATTTATTTGAAAACTTGCAGATATCACACACGTTGATCTGCCTTGAATTCTATACTTCTTCTATTCTATTCTTATGGTGCTTTCGTTTCTTCAAAAAAAATTTTGCCCTTCTACGTTGCAAAATATATTTGATGTTAAACTCAACCCTGTTATCTAATTCCGAGAAGGCAGAACAGACGTAGCCCTTATTTTTACCGATAATGTTGTGATTGCGAATAATTAATATTTTATCTTCTTTAAATACGGTAAAGAAATGTGTGTATACAGATTCTTAGCCATGTTTTTTCGAAATATAAGCACTATTTATTTCCTACTAAGTTGACGTCTATATTTATTGGAAAGATTATTAACGCAAATCCTAAAAATATCTTTCCCCACTTTCGTCAATATCGTTCAAATATTTGCTTCTAATTTTTCATATTTATGTACATACTTCCAAAATAAATTGTCTTAACTACGTGCCTCTAATAGCAAAGTTAAACACTGTCGACTGCCTTTTTCAATCAAAAGACACCACATCACTACAAAACTTTCACTTACGCACATAAATACATATTTACAAATACTTTTTTGGGGGTTGCAATTTCTTTGCAAATATTTACAACCACTCAATGAAAGTTAAATAGACCATGATTTGATAGTCTACCCCTAGGGAAAGTATGTGAAGTGAAGTGACTGTTTAACGTTGGAAAACTTAATTAACTGGTGATACTCGTAGCACTTAATAGAATTGATATGGAGTTTAAAGAAAACGTTCACCTTTAAGTTGAAAAAATATTTACAAAAGTTGAATGCACTAAAAGAAGTTGCCTATATGCCGCAATGTCTGAATTTGGTGCGTGGTTTCCACTAATACATAAATATTTAGCATCACTTATGGCGTATTGCACACATTTCCGATTTACCGTTAACCAATTGCCTCTCCGTCGCTCTGCAGTGAACTACCATTTGACAGGGTTACCAATATGAAAATATTTTGATGCCCAACCACAAACACATTAAACTCTAGCTTACTCCTACCACCTCAGAGACAGCAAATAGGCGCGCCAGGGAAGAGCTAATGTAATATTTTGCAGCTTGTAGCATTCAACTTTGTTGTGGTCATGCTATGTTATGGAATTATATTTGTACGCACATGAGACTCATTTCCAGTAACAGCAGTGCGTGGGTGTCTACAAGCCGCCTCGGCTGGGTGACTGCCACTGCGGTGGGCGTAATGCAAATTTTCCAAAGGTCTAACAACACTCAGCACATAACAACCATTAATTCATGCAGCTAAGGATATGTTTTTGTTATTGTTATTGCCACATTGTGCGGCAGGAAGCTTACGCTTGAGCGCTTATCTACGCGGCGCGCCGCTTGGCAACATGTTGCTGCATTGTTATTGTTGTGGGTGCATTGTGTGCTGAGCGTGGTTGTTGTTGTATTGTTGCCTTTGTGGTGATTCGCTTTTCATGTTGTTGTTGTTGTTGTACACTTATACATGTATGTACATATCCCGTGGCCACCTATGTACACTTGCTCCCGCTTTCCTATTCTTAACTGAACAATCATCTTTTTTGTTGCACTTGTGCATTGTATATTGCATTATTGTTGTTGTATTTTCGCATACACTCGCTTGTGCTAGTGCTTGTATGCTTATTATTGCTGTTTGTT